AACAGCTTAATTTAACCATACCACAAAGCATACAGTGTAAAATATATTGTACCAGGTAAATACAATTTTATTTGTTAAAAAACTTATAAGTAAAAATAACAATACCTTTTTCTCCAAAATGTTAAGAGGTAAATAATAGTTTCTTTTGTTGCTTCCAGAAATTCATTTTGTTCTTTATACTGCTTTTTCATCTATTTTATCCTTAATTTATACATGAGTGTATGGCTTTGTTTGCAAGATATCTCAAATTCTTTTAGAAGATGAACTACAAAAAGTAAAAATAACCTTGAGAACATGACTGTAACACATAAGATGAAATAATACAGCCTCTTAAGGGCAATACTACAAATATGGTAACTGATCTTATTTGTGATTTAAAGATCAGCTTTAGTGAACTGAAAAAAATTAGAACCACCCAGAATGAATGCTTTTTAAAAGAATTGAGAAAAGTAAAATGTCACAACCAATTTTTATAAACAAAATTGTTTTTCAACTTTCAAGCCTGAGAAATTGAAAATAGTATTTTAGATAATTAGAAATGAACCTCCCTTTACATTATCAAATCCTTTTTTAAATTAACAAAATTCAAATTCTCACAACCAAATGTGGACATACCCCGCCCTGCGCAGTTTTGCTTAAAGATTTTTTAAAGATATAACAGTAGAAACTACATCTAGTGTAGGCTTATCATGTGGGAGGCAGTCTAGTTTCCTATCTCTGATCATAATTACTAGCAAGGTACCACTCATGCCCATTTTATGGATGTGTAAGTTACACCATGACACAAGAGCAAGAGCACAAGACTAGGATTTAAACTGTTTTCTGTAACTCAAAAGTCTATTATTTCTCAAACTCTTGAAACAGATAAATTCAATAAAAACCTTTGCATAGGTGTTTTTGTAAGTCTGAAACTACTTCAAAATAAAATTTTAAAATACTTAAAAGTTCTCACACAGCACTTGGGAAGGAGGATCATTCCAAGTTTGAAACCAGACTGGGTTACACAGTGAATTCAAAGCCACCTGAACTACATAGGGAGATCCTGTCTCAAAAAGATAAAAAACAAACAAACAAACAACAACAATAACAACAACAAAAAAACTCACAGGAAATTTTTATTATTTCAAGATGAACAGTTTACAAACTGAAAAGTCCTACTAGAACCACAGTTTTACCTGTGGATGATAAATACAATAATCCATTTTATGGAACTGGAGAAGAAATTAGAAGAACTTTACTTGATTTAAGGTTAAGCTCTAAAAAACTGTAAGAAATGAACATTTATACAAACATTAAGCCAAAACTACAACTATAATAGATTCACATATTATAGCAAGACTTATTTTAATAATTATTATAATCATTAGAGATGTGAGTATACATGCTTAAATACCCAGAAATTGTCAACTTAGGACAGCATGCTAATTAAAAGCAACCCTACATGAAAACAGTCTGCAGAAACATCTTAAGTTTAAATTTCTTTTGTCAACTTGTATTTTTATTAGTGCAGGTCAGCAGTATATAATGATCACATACTTTGCGGGGAGTTATACATGTACATTTTAATTTTTTGCCATCCCCTTCCCTTCTGCCTCCTTCTGTCATCTCTTGACCCCCTTTTTCCCACCTATCTACATCACTCTTCTGTTATGAAAGTGTGTATTTTACCATGATGGATCATCTTCATCACCCATGCATGAGTAATCTGATGATTCACTTTTGACCTTCTCCAAAACTTGCAAACCTGGGTTTTCATCTGCAATTGAACTGAACTGGGCTACGTCTACCACAAAAATCAAAAGAAAACTTTTTAAAAACAAGTTCTGGAGTGGTGTGGGTCTACTGGACCTTCTGTGATGCTCAGGTAAATATAAGCAAAGCAAAGTTATATGAAGTACATGCACACACTTCGCCCTTGCTATTTCTCATACCAAGTGGGTAAACACAGGTTGTTCCTTGCATCCCTCAGTTACTAAGTTACTAAGACACACACTACTATTTTACTAAAGTACAAATTTACAGCAGAAAAGTAAGGAGTGGGCTAGCTGGACCCAGCCTAATTAAACTATGTAAACAGAAGCACTGCACCAGAACATGGGTAACTTTTATGTGATCAGGTTTTTAAAGATAGTGCCTGCAAAGCTCTTCAGATAATGTACTTCCAAGGGAAACCATGGGCTCCAACTTCCTGGGAAACCAGAGCACAGAGGAACACCAAGGACCCTCACCCCCCGCCCCTTGCACTATACAGGGATCTTCTAGAACACCCTGGGAGGTTCACGCATGAAGGAAGATCATGGCCCTGTATACTGTCGTGGAAGGCCAGGTTTGGTGGATATAATGTTCAGGGGGGATGGAACTGAAGTACATAGTATTTAGTCCAATACTGTGCTTGAACTTCTGCACTGCTGCCTACATCCCGCAGAAATTAATGGTCTGAATTATTATAGGAAAATATTTAGGTGGCCTGAGCACCTTCACTATAATCACAGACCTGTTTGCTCTGCTTAAGGACAGTTTATGAGTGGTTTTTAGGGTTGGTCAGTATCCAGCTGATATTTAATGCCACTGTTGTCACTAACTTTAATACTAGGGCTAAGGTGTCATAGTTGTTGCTGTCAATTAGCTTTCTCTGTAAGCCAATATCTGCATTGCCTGGGGGTCATAGACAGTACTGTAGCTCGCTTGCAAAGAACTTGGCAGTGGGCCAGAGAAACCACAAACCACAAAACAAAAACAAAAATTGAAACATGGAAAGATAAGGCAACAAAATGCCTCCAAAAGCACTTAACTCTCCCAAAACCACTTCAGGGGAGGAAATAAGCCATACAACAGAAAGGCCTGAAAAGGAATCCACAGAAGTAAAACAGTTCAATAAGGTGCCTGGTGAATTTAAATAAAATATAACTAATCTGATGGCCCTAATGAAACAAATGGTCAGTGATTCTAGAGAAGGCACTAATAAAAATTTAGTGGAGCTAAAGAGAGAGATTCAAAAAATAAATGGTCAGCAGGTAATGTATCTCAGTTAAAGTGTTGGTTACATAATCCAAACTTATAAGACTAATATGAATGGACTAATGTAAGAATTACTCTAAGAAAATACTGATAAAAGAGGCTAGTTTTCATGCTTTCACTTTCAACTCAGTTATACACTTTCCCCAATGTCTTTATTTTTTGAACAGGTGACATGATCAAAAAAAAAAATCAAACAATATTGCTTTAAATGAGCAGTATTATAGACAAAGCAAGAGTGAAGTGATCAAAGGTAATATCAAAACTAACAAATAGGTACCAGCTAACAATCACTTAATCAATCCTTAACCCCATCAGCACTACTAAAGCAAAACAACTAATTTTTGTAAATACTGAGCATAGTACCTATTACATCTATTTTATTGTACACTACAGTTTCTTTTATAAAATATACAGCATGTTCATTTTTGACAAAGCAATTATTTATCAGCTAGGCTTTCTGACAATGATATACAATCTTGAGTTCACCGAGGACGCCAATATAACGTTGGTAGTATTTTTATTAAAAATAAAAATTGAAAGTGTGGGCCAGGGATATAGCTCAATGGCACAGTGCCTGCCTGACAAGCATGAGGTCCTGAGTTTGATTCCCACTACCAAAAATAAATAAATAAATAAAAGTGATTAAGTACCAAGTAAGTGTTATAAATGTCATAGAAATGTAGCATATAGATAGTATATTTGTTCTTTGTATGATTAAGAGAGACATCAGGATTAGCAAGAAGTACCTTTTGAGCTGAACCTGGAAAGGCAAGAAACAGAAAATGAGGCAGGCCAAGAAAACAGTTGAGAATCAACATAAAGAGCAGGGACTTTAAAGTATCTAAGCAGGGAAAAGCAAGCAAACGGTCCAAATCCAACTCACTGCCTATTCCACATAGCCGATAAGTTACTAGTGGTTTTTATGTTTTTAAATGATTGGAAAAAAAAGAACGTTTCACGACCCATGAATATTATGGAATTTATACATAAAGTTTATCACCACGCAGCTACTCCCATTCCTCACATACTATACCACAGAGTTCAGTAACTGCAACAGGAGCCATGTAAGTCACAGAGCCTAATATATTTACTGTCGGGGACTTTAGAGAGTAAAACCTGCCAATCCCTCTCTTAGTAAGGTCTATGTGGCTATTGCACTGTGAATGAAAGGCTGGGCAAACGATGGTGAGAAAGAAAGAATGAGAGACCTATAATCGAGGTATTTGGATCCACATCCCCAAAGCAGTGGTGAAACTATTAAAAACTTTTTTAAATAGCAGACTAATAAATTAGATTTATATTTTGAAAAGATCATTCTGATTATCATAGTGGAAACTACAGTATTAGGAGGTAAAAAAGGCTAGTGTAGTTTAGTAGTTCAAGTAGTGAGATATAAGGACAGCTTGGGGGTGAAATGACATAAGAAGATGAAGCAAAACTATTTCTCAACCCACAGAGGTTAAAAGTTTCAGAAAACAAATTTTCTGGGTATTACAACAATTCTCAAAACTTTTATGGTATGGTTGGACAAAGTGGCACACGCTTGTAATACCAGCACTCAGGAGGATGAGGCAGGAGAACTGCCACGAGTTAGAGGCCTGCATTACATTGTGAGTTCAAGGTGAGCTTGCACTGCATAGTGAGATCCTGTCTCAAAACAAACAAACACCCATCTGTTATACTAGGAATAACTTAAATAGAGTAAGTTAAAAATATGACAATAGCATTATGTACATAAAAATTTTGAGAACTGCTATAGAATAAATGCTTCCCCCATTAGTGTTTTCTAAAATATGGTTCATATATTTTATAAGCTAGAAATGACTACTTTTATTAAATTTATGATTAAAGAATTTACAGATAAATAATACACTATAAATTAACAGAAAGCAGAATAAATATAAATACTGCATAAATACATTTTCACCGTACTTTTTCTCATAATGTAGTAATAACAAAACAACAACAACAAAAGAACATACCTGCTGCATTCCAACAACGTAACTTTAAGACGGCCTTCAGTAAGTGCCCAATGTTGTATGTGGATAAGCTCTTCATCTTCTTCAAATCCTTGAGGTGTTTGGTATGGGAAAAATGGCTTAAACCTGATAAAAGTAAAGAAAAACATTAATTTATAATAAACACCACAGTTTAAAGCATAACAAAACCTACTAGTATTAAAAAAAACACGCACAAAGCAAAATGGAACACTTAATATGCATGTGTTCTACAAAATCAAAACTTATTACACCTCTCTGTAACTGGCAGCAAATGGTACCTTCTCTGCAGCACCAAGCAGTCTTGAATTTTATTATGGCCTCATCAACAAGGCAGGATACATACAACAACGGGAAATACACAGGCAGCCAGTGGGCCCCGAGGTGGGGCAGGAGAGAAAGGGTCTTTGATCCAAATTGAAAGTTTTTTTCCTATAATGCAAGATCAAAATTCATAATATATAGTTCCATGGAAACAATATAATAATATTAGTATAAGATAATGATAATATAATAATATCAACAATACTTAATGGCAGCAAAAGTATTCATCATAGTGTTTACTATTTGTCAGTGGTTGTTACTGTGTCACATCCATTATTATTCAAGTATGAATGCTCATAGCCTTGAGATAGGACTACTGCTAGCTCTTCTCTACAGACAGAGTCAAGATTAGAAAGGTATAAGAATTTTAAGATAGCTGAGAGGCAAAATCAGAATTCAAACTCTTCTGGCTACATCAAAGCCCAAAATATGGGCTGGGGATTTAGCTCAGCGGCATAAGCGCCTGCCTTGCAAGCAGGCAGTCGTGAGTTCGATCCCTGGTACCGGTAAAAACGAAAAAGACAAAAAAAAAAAAAAAAAAAAAAAAAAAAGCCCAAAATACATAGTTATCAATTAGTTGAGCACTTTTGTGCTCACACTAAATACATTTAATTTTATGGAAATTCTTGTGCTGGGTTATAAACTTTGAGTTTTAAAAAACTTTTAATTTGAAATATAACTCATATTCTTCCATTAAAGCAAAGAAAACAAGAGAAAATTGGATTTTAAGCCCTGTACTTTTCAATTCATCCTACATTGTTATCAGGCATGATATCTGCCTGGTCAAAAAAATTCAATGCCTTCTTACTGATCACAAAAAATAGGCACATGCCTACAGTCCCAGAGGCTTAACAGGCTGAAGCTGAAGGATCACCTCTTATCTTCCAGGCCTTCTGGTACCTCTGGTACTGGAAATTTTTCCTACACCATAAAGTCTGCCCAACTTCAATGCTCTTTCTATACTTGGCTTCAGGTCTAGATCGTAACAGACCACATCTGCTGGATTCTCTTGTCTGCAGTCATTTAAACTAGTGTGTGTTTATGCCTCAAAATTTCCCATATGACTCGGTCTCACAAGTCTCTGCATCCCTCAGTACATGACCTCAGACTCAAGTACTTTAGTACATGTTGAGGTGATTTATAAAAATTCAACACCAAAATAGCAAAAGCCCACAACAGCTTACCCTAAAAAAAAAAAACTGAGTATCTGGGAGAGAAGGAGTGATGCTATATGGTTTTTCAGTAAACAGGGTTAAAGGAAACAAGGAACAGAGGAAACGCAGGCAAGGCTCACTGCTTTCTCCTGTTTCTGAACCAGGCTAGAAAGCAGAAGCCCCCTTTAGTTTCTTTCAGCTACTACACTAATCTTCATTTGAAGTCATTTGACTCAGACATACTGGCACCAAGTTTCTGAAGTAAAAAACAAACCAAAAAGCTAGGAATTATATTTATTATGTTACGACAATACCATGGCTAAGTGCTTTAAATGCACAAGCTTTATGGCTCTTGAAGAAGTAACTGTCACTCTGTAATAACTATAAATATTACTACATATATATTAGACACTGAATTTAATCATTCAAGTTATTTAGTTGCTCTAATAATCAATTTTTCTTGTCCTGTATAAACTTAAATATACTCCATTCAAAATGAACATACTGGTCTATTACACTAATTGGGCCAAGTGAGCAGGAGGTAGCAAACACTCTGGATTTGTTAGTAAAGCATTTGAAAGCCAGAGGATGGGAAATAAGTCCAACAAAAATTTCAAGTCCTACCTCAGGGAAATTTCTACAAGTTCAGTGGTGTGGGGCATATAGAGACAGTCCTTCTACAGTAAAAGATAAGTTGCTGCATCTCGTTTCTTCTACAACCAAAAAAGAGGCACAATGCCTAATGGGCCTATTTGGATTTTTCAGGCAACACATTCTTCATTTGGGTCTCTTACTCTGGCCCATTTACCGAGTGACTTGGAAAGCTGCTGGTTTTGAGTGGGGCCCAGAAGAAATGGATCTGCAATTGGTCCAGCTGCTGCACAGATCTGGGGCCGTATGATCCAGCATATTCAATGATACTTGAAGTGGCAGTGGCAGGTCAAGATGCTCTTTGGAGTCTCTGGTAGGCCCCTATAGGTGAATTGCATTGGAGGCCTTTAGGAATTTGGAGCAAAGCTCTGATATCATTTGTAGACAACTACTTTCCCTTTGAAAAAGAGTTCTTGGGGGCTGGGGATTTAGCTCAGCGGCATAAGCGCCTGCCTTGCAAGCAGGCAGTCTTGAGTTCGATCCCTGGTACCGATAAAAAGGAAAAAGACAAAAAAAAAAAAAGAGTTCTTGGCCTGCTACTTGGCCTTAGTGGAAATTGAATGCATGACCATGGGACACTAGGTCACCATGCAACCTGAACTACTTATCATGGCTTGAGCATTACCTGATCCATCAAGTCATAAGACTAGATGTGCACAGCAACAGTCTATCAACAAACAGAAATGGTATATTCGTGATCCAGCCAGGGAAGAACCAGAGGGTATAAGTATATTACATGAGGAAGCTCCTCAGATACCTATGGCTCCTATGCCTACTGCCTGTTTCCTAACATGCACCTATGGTCTTATGGGGTATACCATATGATCAGCTGACTAGGGAAGAAAAGGCTTGGCCTTGGTTTATGGATGACTCTGCACATTCTATAGGTACCACCTGCAAACAGCTGCAGCATTACAGTCCCTTTCTGGGACACTGCAGAAGGACAGCAGTGAATGGAAATTATCACAGTAGCTTCATGAAGCCACCCATCGTTACCCAATGGGTCCATGAACAGAATGGCTATGGGGGCAGGGACAGAGGGTATGCTCGGGCTCAGTAACATGGACTCCCACTCACCAAGGCTGATCTGATTACAACTGCTGCTGAATTCCCAATATGCCAACAGCAGAGATCAACACTAAGCTCCCAATATGGCACCATTCCCCAGGTGATCAACCTGTGACCTGGTGGCAGGTTGATTATACTGGACCACTTCAATCATAGAAGGTACTGTGCTTTGTCCTCAATGGTATGTACAGACACTACTCTGAAGATGGATGTGCCTTTGCTGCATGTAATCCCTCTGCCCAAAGTAACATCCATGGACTTATACAATGACTTATCCACTGTCATGGAATTCCACATAGCATTGCTTCTACCAAAGAACACATTTTACGGTCAAAGAAGTGAGACAATGGGCTCATGCTCATGGAATCTACTCTCTTACCATGTTCCTCCTCATCATTGAGAAGTGGCTGGATTTATATAAAAGTGGAATGGTCTTCTGAAGACACCATTATAGTGCCAGCTAGGTAGCAACAGGCTGTATAGGCTGGGGTAAGGTATTTCAAAAGGCTGCCTATGCTTTGAATCAACATTCACTATATGGTACTGTGACTCCCATAGCCAGGATTCACAGGTGCAAGAATAAAGGGTAGAAATAGGAGTGGTACCCCTCACCATTACTCCCAGTGATCTACTAGCAAAATTTTTGCTTCCTGTTCCCATGACCTTGTGCTCTGCTGGCTTAGAAGCCTTGGTTCCAGAGGGCGAAAGGCTTGTTGTAACAGGAAGTATAACAATGATACCACCTGAACTAGACAACTTAGGGTCATTTTGGTGTGCTCACATCTCTGAAGAAACAAGCCAAAAAGGAGTCAGTGATGTTAAGGGTGACTGATCCAGACTGTGAAGGGGAAATTGGACTACCACTCCATAATGGACAAAAGGAAGACTATATGAGGAATGTAAGAGATCCCTTATTGTGCTTCTTAGTATTATCACGTCATTATTAAAGTCAATAGGAAAGTACAATAACTGAATATAGAACGACAAATGGTCCAGAGCCCTCAGGAATGAAGGTATGGGTCATTGCAAGGCAAAAAAACAAGATTTGCTGAGGTGGTTGCAGAAAGCCAAGGCAACACACAAAGGGCAGTGGAAGAAGGTAGTTCTAAACACCAGCTATGAACCTGTGATCAGCTACAGAAAAGAGGATTGTTACTGTACTATTTCTCTCCTAATATGCTTCTAATATAATAGTGGTCCTTAAGGGTTGTTAAATCTGTTATAATGCTCAAGTTAATAAAATGATGAAAGCAAGTATTACCCAAAGAAAACTTATTTTCTATTCTGGGGAGAGAATTAGTACATTTTTGTTTGTTTGTGAGATAGTTATAATGTGTTAGGCACAATTATGAGTGTGTCTTTGTTTGTGGAGACTAGTTTAAAGAAATATGTCTCGTTGCCAAGTTGACAATGGGTAGATTGTAATGGTTGACTGATGTGTCAACTTGAGAAGTTCAGAAGCTTAACTAAATTGACTGAGCAATTCTACACCCTAAGATGTAGAAGACTTGCCCTAGGGAGGCTTGTTGCCTCAAAGATATAAAGGGAAAATGAGGAAGGATGGACTTGCTTCTGGTTTTTGGAACTCTAGTCTTCCTCTTCAGCTGAGATGTCATTTCCTGGCTTCCAACACAGATGTTTCAACCTTCCATTGCAGACCCATTGGCCTCCTGATTCAGATATGCACAGATCTACAGGGAACTCCAATCTTGGACTCAAACCTTCAATCTCTTCAGTCACTCTCTGCATGCTTCCTCATCCAACTCTGGCTGACCATCGTAAGCTTATAATTTCTTACACATTTGTATATTTTGTGTTATATGTTTCTCTAGTAAAGCACTAACTGACACAAATGTTATCAGAATTTATCTTAAAAAATGGATACAAAACTAAAAGCATTGACATTTTATG